AATTTAAATTAAATAAAATATTAAAGAAGTAATTTTTACAAAAAAAACGACTTGAAAAAAATGATCGGATCTCAACCAGATAGGCCCCTCTGAGACACTACCTTTCCGATGCATAATTTATCGAAATCGGTTGACGTGGTCCAAAGTTATGCGGCAGCATACATAAAAAAAAAAAATATTCGACGAACTGATAACCTCCTCCTTTTTTGGAAGTCTGTTAAAAAATGGATACAAATTTACTTTTCACCGGCACTCACAATATGTTCATATTAAGTTCCGTTTTCACCATGATAAAAAAATAGGAAGGTAGAACCGCGGAGAGAAATTTTTCATATTCTTGACGTTTGCGAGCATTTTAATTTTAAAATTTTACACACACATTCTCATTTTCAATCTCAAACAACAACAACTTTGAACAATTCCTTTTTTCTACTCTCAATTTTATATGATTTTAAAATGTTGGCAGACTTCAAAAAAAAAAATAAAAAAATCATAGCCGACGAATTGAGAGAACGGTTTTACCTTACTATGTTTTTATCATGGTTTTAACCATCTCTGGTTAATACTTATCACCAGTTAAACATCGTTACCGGGTCGGTAATACCGACGATACTGACTCCATGCATACACAATTTTCATTTACAACCCTTTAAATTTTGTGCGAAATCTCTTGACAAAAAATTGCCGTTTATCGACTTCTTTTAGATCTCAACTAGTGGAAGACTGTAGGAGAGAGTTGGCCTATATGTATCTCTGATCAATACGAAAGTACCCTATAATAGGTCCTGGGACATAGGGACATGTACGGAAACGTGGCAGCGGACGAACTAGCAAACTTTTAAACTGTAAATTTTTCTATTTAAAACCTTTTTTTTTTTTAAAACCTTTTTAAACCTCAGTTATGCAAGACTTATACTTGACTTGACTTGAAAATTGTATATCTGGAAAATGAGTGCATATCTTATGCGCATATATTCGATTTTTTAGTGCATGAGATTCCGAGCCTTAGTTATGACAATATCGCCCATGTTCCTTAAATTAAATCGCGAATGACTATTACGATTTTCATTTATGTATGTATAACTGTATATTTGTGTATGTGCCTAGTATAAAGTCTATAGATACATACTTACTTATGGACATTTTGTAAAACTACCAACTCATCCCTACGGCTGACAATAAATTATAGAAAATAAACAAAAAGGATACAAAAAAGCTTCGTCAGTAAGGAAGCTAAAGGGAACACAATTTCCTAGCGAGTAGAATGATAGTCTCCTTTACCTCCTTAGTTCGCGAGATTGATACTTACTTTTAATTTTCCTGTTTGACATCTTTATATGTAGGTTAGTGTTGTTTATTATTTGAGCGCATGCATTCGATATGCTGACATTGACTAGATAATGTTCTGTTGGTAGCTAATGCCTAAATCACTACCCGTTTAAAAATTGGTGGATTGATTTAGGCAGGATGCCTGTTTCATTCGCTGTTAATTAATTTTATAAAGGCATACATCTCAAATCCAAACACACTTAGCATAAAAAAGGATCAGTCCAGCGTCTTAGAATGCGGGATATTATTAAGAGCACGTTAAAGCTAAAGACTGTACATGAAATATTCCTTTTTATTTAATGGAATTGAATTTAATAAATCAATAGAAATACAAAATATAATTAATCAGAAATACAGAAACCGGATTCGCAGTAACTGCAATCATATGAGCCATCAGCTAATAAGTATATGCCACGACAAGTATCTCCTGTAAGTTAATATTTGACCAGTGCCATCTGTCCTTACTTCGATGCATTTTTATTTTGTTTTAACAGCAGAAATTTGCATTACATACTTGGATTACTATTCGTCTTCTTGTTCGGCTTTGTTTTCGTGCTCGTCTTCACATTTGGGGTATTCACAACGGTGTCGTAAGTGTCTTAAACTTTAAACGCCTAAAAAACATATTAAGGGGGTTTGCAAAATAACATCAAAGTCATATTATGAATTTTTGCAGTGTTATTTAAGTTTTTAAAGCTTAGGAAATACAACAATAAGACACTTACGACACCCTTTGACTTTGTGATTCCCTCAAATGTCTTCATCTTCGGGTTTGTGTATAAGTTAGCTAAATTTTACTTTTCAAACGGATGACAACCCTCCTAAATATAATTTAGAATTAAACACATTTCCATTGACACCTTTCTTTTAATAATTGAGCCAACTCATCATATA